GAAATGCCACTATTATTTTCCGATTAGCGAAAAGAAAAATGTTCGCCTGACCGTAACATATACATATTATTATATGTATGTTGTATAATCGTAGGTCCATCGTGTAACAATCGCATAGTATGTACTGTAACGTTTTGTTTAGTTTGCATAAGATCATATTTCAACTATTAAAATAATATTAACTACATAATGACAATCATAACATTATTCATTGATATATATAATATATATATAGTAAACTGTATTTTTTTTAGCATGCCATTTTTTTGTTTATTATAGAGAGCCTTATTACGAACATATCGCAAATAATTTCTTGACAACTATTGGTAACAAACAGTATAATAAAATGCAATGATAATAATATTAAAAATATTAATAATAATATTATATTCCATATTATGCTATGAAATAAAGGCTGTGCAAGAAACGATTCGATATTGACAATGACAATAACGACAAATTTTATATTCTATCATATTTTGAATGAACGTTTCAATGAAATAATATGTTTATTTAAGTTATTTTTAATCTATAATAACATTATGTTTTTTTAATCCTCGATTCGTAGATTCGGGAATTATTATTTTTAAAGTTTTCTAGTTAGGTATATTCTTATCAAGTGGTAATGTTTAATTTAAATAAATTAACCCGAACCATTCAACAATTAAAAGCATAACAATTGGTTATTGATAAAATAATCTTTCCTTAGTTTTTGAATTTTATTTTTACGCTTATGTATTACGGAATAAATCATTATATTATTATTATTATTATTATTATGCCATTTGATCGATTAAATTTGGAAAAAAAATAATCAAAAGTATTTTATTTTGCTTTTCAATAAAATATAAAATATTATGTATTTTTCAAACCGAGTTCGTCCCAAATGTTTTTCCACTCTATAGTTAAATCCGACACGATTATACCGCAGCTGCATATCATAATGATATACGCGTCACACAATATGGATCGGCCTCATCCGCCCATATTAATAATATATTATCACGCACCTACGCGGTCGCTTCGACGGCCACCTGTGTCACGCGTACTCGAAAACACTATATGCATAATATTAAATATATTCGACGATTTCTACGACATCATTACAATATGTATTGTTATAGATCGCGAACGAAAAATATCTTGTCAGGACGTTGTGGCGTTACACAAGCAATGGGAAGATTATCGAGATCAACTAAAAAATTAAAAAACTTATATTTAAAAAAAAAAAAAATTCTTTTTCGCGGCCAAAACCACATTATAATATGACGTCGACGAAGTGGTTTCCCCATTCACGGGTTTCGCGTGAAAATTGATCGGCAGCCGCTGTAAATATATGAACAGGCACGCACTGTCACTTACTGCCGCCATAGCAGTATCGTCTCTATGCCGTTCGTTCGAAACAACCTATTAAGTGGTGGCAGGACGTTAAGGGGTGATGGGTGCGGTGGTGATGTTTGAGGAGGCGGGAGAGAGTGTTCGGTCGGTGAAGGGATGAGTGTAGACGGTCGACGGTGGTAGTGATGGTGGTGGTGGTGGTGGAGCGAGCGAGTCTCATACAGATCAATAGCACCCGTTACACTTGGAGGGGTTGGTGCAATGGCGGGGAAGGCAACACTCGGCCGGGCGGTGAGAGAGTTTCCGTAAAGTCGTTTAATCCGTTCCGTAGAGTGCGCGCACACACAACGGAATTTTTCGCCCGCGTATATAATTTATATATATATATATATGTGTGTATGTATGTGTATGTGTGTTTATACATATGCGCGGGTCCTTTGCGGGCACCGTTCACGCGTGCTTTCCACGCGGAGACGGAATTTTTTTATTTATCTCGTTCCGTCCAAAACGTTTTCCTGCGATTATTTTTTTCTCTTCAATTTTCCCGTTCTTTCGTTTCGTTTCTCGGAAGTCGCGCCACTGCCGTGACCTTTGTATATAGGGGCGCCGCTCGCGCACCGGTGTATAGCGGCGTAGCGGTTGCGGCGGCAGTGGTGGTGGCGGCAACGGCGGTCCACGACGACGGTTATTGACCCGCGCGCGTGCCTCCCTGTGACGTCATTCGGATTCTATACGACGTCACGGACCGTACACACGTTCCATCCCCGTGTTCACCGTCATCCGTCGCACCCGGATCGCTCGCACAACCCTCCTCCCCAATAACCCTGACACCGCCTACACCGGTTATGTACGGGGTATACCCAAAGTAGGTTGCCTCAAATCCCGGACCCCGATATACTCGCGGCTCGCCTAATGTGGCGCAAACGTTTAACGTAAAGCTTCCCGACGGGGTGTACAGCACCCGACCGGAAATGCCGATTTCGATTTTTACCCGAAATTCAACCCCTCCCTTATCATATCGCTAATGATTATGACCAACGGTTTTTACGTGCGGTAAGGGTAGGGATGGGAAATAGGCCTAAGATCGAGAAACCGACCGTTTGTCGTCCTTTCGATCTTCGCTCACGGACGAGTACCGTGTTAGTATTATACTTACTGTTATCGGGTGGCGTTTGTTGAGATAATATTCCACTGTTGACCCCAATTACGAGTTTATTTGTATAACTGACACACACTCGCACACACCGCCTTGTTTTTCTTTCGGTCCATCGATCGGTGACAAGTGAAGCGCGATATATATATTATGTACTAATGAAAACAAATGCTCCTCGACGACGCGCTTATAAGCCACTCCGGAAAAGATTATCAAATTATTATATACCTTGCGCTCGACCCAACGTGAACACTACATCTGAGCACCGTAGTTGAATAAAACTTGGCTTATTTTTACACTTAAAAAATAATATATTTTAGTCGGTCGTGACCCCGTTAACGAATATTGTTATCATATCGTTTTTCTTTTTGCATTTACAGGTATCATTGACCATGATTATATTATATAATAATAATATTATGTATATCTACCTAACAATAATCTTACGTTTCGATCAAATAGCATCATTAATCGATTGTTACAACATTTTTTTTGTTTTTCGTACTGTTAACGTGAAGTTTTTAATTATTGTATAGTATTAAATTCTTTAAATTTTAAAAACATAAAAATGCAAGGCATTTTTTAATAACTAATATAATAAGCAGAAACAAAATAAAAAAAAAACAGAATAACCGATTGCTATCTTATAAAAACTATAAATTAAGTTTTTTTTTTCACGTTGAACCAAAGTATATGATTTTTAGTTACTATAAATTAGAAACTTTTACGAACCTCAATTCTGCGCACACGTTCTTGAAACATACGCAAGCAAACTTAGTAAATTACCAATATTTAATTCTTTAAAAACGAATCCCCTTAAAGTAATATCAATTTTATCTGTTGGCTTACACATCATATTAGCAATTTCTAAGCAATAAACTGCTTTGTGCAGCAAATTAACGAATGGCTTAATATTTCAACGTGTATATAACTCGTTGGTATAAGATATTTCCAAAGAAATTACTAGAATTGAAATAACGAAATCATGGGGTTTTTGAACCTCGACTAATAACATAGTGGTGGTTGGATATTATCCCTAACCTTATAATAATATCATTTTTATAAGATCAAAGTATAATATAACAACTATATAATTGTGTGATACATGGTTTGCGTGTTTCTTGACATTGAAACATTTCATAAAAACACATGAACTTGATACAAAACATATATCATACGAGATGTTTTCATGATTGGATTTATTGGACTTTTATGTTTACGCTGACTGTTCAAATTTCTACACAAACAATAATATGTTTAAATACATTAATATTTCTATACACTATAGAAATTTTATGTTCATAATATTTATATTTTACTCAACATAATATACGTATAATGCAACTAATGCGAGTGTTTAACTTCAGTTTCTTAATCAATATTGCGTATAAAAAGTTTAGTTCCTAATTATTTGTCCAGTACTACAAAATTAAAAAAAAAAAAAAAACTTAAAATGTACCCATATACTTTTTACAATATTGCTATAATAATAAACGACAAAGAATTATAACATCATATTTTGTTATTTTCGCGAATATTTAATAAAATGTATGAATAATGAGTTAACGAGCCTTAATCTGTTCAACTTGCAACCTGAGGAAGGAAATTAGACTTTTTTTATATATTCTTCTTTTATAATACGGAGAGAACAGATTTGTTGTTGCTAAATTAATAAATTTATAAGTATGAACAATAAATATAAATGCCATGTTATATATTTATTAATATAAAAAAATAAAACATTTGTTTTGGTTTTCTAAAAATAGACAGAAATTAAAATAATTCAGACTATATTAGAATTTTGTTATTTAGTAAGCACCATCTGCTACATAAAAATTAATATTTCTGTTTGTGTAGAAATTCCGTTCTAAAACCATGCCTTCTTTTGCACGCATTATAGATTTACATATAATTATGAACACCCAATAACAGTTTTTGGAACAAAAGAAGTTAATTTTACAATACATTTTGACGTAATTTTGTCTCATAACTATATATTACAGATTCATAACAGTTATACTTGCTGAAACTGTTTGTACTTTTCATGTTAATATGCCAATTATATTTTATAGTCAACCGTAGTTCTAGAAGAATTTATGCGATTTCAAGAAATTAAATTTTTTAATATCATTAAAATTAATATGCTTTTGAATTATTTTTTGATACACTCCTTGAGAAAAAAAAAACATTAAACATACCTAATCTATCTAGGTATGCACCCTGCGCAAAGCGTTTTATAGAATAAATTAATTAATATACATAAAAAAGTGTTAAATACGTTTAATTTAGATTTATTTATTCCGAAAAATTAAGCAAATGTTATATAATATTCTAAAACGTATTATGATAGTTTACTTCAAAAACATAAAAAAAATATGTATTTTTTAATAATGTTGCTTATATGTTTAATATTTAAAAAATAAAATAACATAAAATAGTCTATTATGTAATTATAAATTTTCTATTCAAATATTTGTAATTTTTAAAATACGTTTATTTTCGCTTACAGCAGATAGCAGCTTCCTTTTGGCCAATGCTCAGATTGTCGACTTTCCGATCGTCTATTGCAACGAGTCGTTCTGCAAAATTTCCGGATATAATCGGGCGGAGGTAAGTATACTCACTATTTACACTTGCCGACTGACAACAATTTAATAACTATAATGGTGATTTTTTTCATTATTTCAATTACGATATACATAAATCAATAAATTAATATTTCCTTTTTGAATATTAACATAACAACTCGTTGAATTATATTGTTTTTCCCCGTCACCACACATAGGTGATGCAAAAGTCATGCCGATGCTCGTTCATGTATGGTGATCTCACGGACAAAGAGACGATATGCAGAATAGACGAAGTGTTGGAGAGCCACTACAACGATCAGTTCGAAATTTTGCTCTACAAAAAGAACAGTGAGTGTCTAAGCCGATGTGTAATGTTTTAGATTCCATAAGATCGGCACGAACTGGTAACATGATATTATAATAATGTGCAAAATGCCGAATCTCTAAGATAACCATAAATTCAACCACGACCACTGTCTTTGCAACCGGATTTTAATTTCTGTCGATCGGTGATCGAATAGATTAAAAAATAAAAATAAATATATATCTACGTTATTCTAACGACAGAATGTTAATTAGCCAACTAGTTCCGAAATTAACGTTTTTGAACATCGACATTTTACGGTATAAAATGCGCGTAGTCGGTGGTCCGTGATTGTCATGGTGTTTATTTTGTGATGCCATATATTATATTTTTGGCTTGCGAAATTGAACCTGGGATGATTAATATAATGTATATAGGTACAACGTACACACGCATATTATTTTACATAACTACAAAAAATAAATTGCATTATTATTTAAATATGCATCATGACCAAAAAAACACAAGCGCAATTTATACGCATTTGTTGACCATCAAAACTATTTTTCCCCACCAATAACATTGGAAAATAATTCGAAATACCTCGTTTACTATAATAACGATGATAAATATAAATATTTATGACAGGGTAGTACAGTTTTTAATGAAACGCATGTCGTACAACTAACAAAAATGTATTTTAGTTAATAAATTAAAACTTTTAAGGTACCTAAAATATCGGTTATTTCTAATATATAAGTATAAACATTAGCCATCACATAGATTTTAAAATGTTTGTTTCCATTACATCTCGATTTCTTCATACAAGTTTCACGGTGCCATTCCTCAAATATTGATTATATTATACAAAATGATTTAACAATCATTATCAACCATTTCTACCAATTTAATCGTTTTATCATATTGATGAATTAAAATTTGTGTTTTTGAATTTTTTTTATTAGGTTTTAATGCCATTTCAGAAATATCTTGAAATGATACTTACATTATATTCTTCAAAAAGAACCATTTTTTTTTTTTTTTTTTTTTTTTGTTAATATCAGTTAATCGAAAGATTTTTTAAATATTTAGATGTATACTTATATATTTGATGCATGTTTACTTTAAATCGAATTTTAAATAAATATTTTATTTGATACTAAATTTTATATAAACACTAATGATTATATTTTTACATAAATTATAAAAGAAAACAGTTAATGTTTATTTGAGTATTAAGTTTATTCGGATAATCACGGATATATTATAAATTAATATAAGATTTAGTTTATGCATTTTACTATAATTACTATTACTAAAGTCATTATAATTATTATCATACTTAAATAACTCAAAAAAAATTCGTTAAGATTTCAATTTATTCGTAGGTATATAACCAGTTTTAAAAACCTCATCTCTTAAAAAAAAAAAAAAAAATAATGATGATGATAATAATTAAAAAAAAAGATACTCATTTGAAAAGGAGACCTGTTGCTGTGGTTTTTATCACAAAAAAAATAATTTCTTTGATGACACAAAAATGTAATATATCGTTTTATCTGAAATATAAGTATACTTATAAGATAATTATATTAAGTATACTTAAGGGTTCAATATTTTTAATTTAAATAAGTTTACTCTTCAGGAAAAATATTAGTGAGCATGCTTTGTGAAACACTTGCAGGTTAAAGCTCAAAAATTAATTATATTATCGAAATTGATTGATGAATTAATGGAATTTGTTGAATAATAATTATTATATTGTATACGTTTGCTGTGATAATATTTTAACGAAACAAAACGATTCAATGATACAATATTAAATCGGTATTTGTATATATATATATATATATATGTGTGTGTGTGTGTGTGTGTGTGTGTGTGTGTGTAGATATAAACTCTATTATCGCAGTACTTTCGGTTGTCCGACATCATATTGATCATATTGAACACAGGTATTTAACCGTACGCAACACCAATCGTTTTTATTGAGGCATAATACTATTCATAACGGTAAATAAACTGACGATTTATATGTAATAGAATAACATTTTGTTTTATATTCATGTGTATCTATGTATTAACAGTTGCGTTTGCTGGTTCTATATCGTTGATTTTACGCGAGTTCATTACGTTCGATCTATGCGTCAACCGCTGAGTTATTAATGCAAACAAAAAGTATCGCACATTCCTTCTAATCATCATAATATCATAATATACTCATATTCGTATGTATAATTATATCATGTAACCAAAAACTTTATAAATCCTGTGATTTCAATTTGACATTTTTCCACGGTCTTCCCCCTTTTTCAGACCTTTACTGCAGACGAGTTATTTATTTAAAGGATTTTCGATATGCGGTTGCGTCGCATTCGAATATAATAATAATTATTATTATTATTTAATATAAAACAAGTGACAGGCGTAGTTTTATCACTCAACTCGAATAATATTACTACAATTCCTTTTGGTTATTCTGTTTAATATAAACGCATAAATACATTTTAATACCATTAATGATTTTCGCATCCAGTGGGGTTTATTTTTTTTCTACCATTTTAAAAGCATATATGTATCCAAGTATATATATATATAAACTAACTACATTCGTGTTCCTTAAACTTTTGGAGAATTTTCTGAAAATGTTGTATAAATATAGTATACATGTATACATCTACTCCGTTAACAACTAATATTGTTACGTCTGCCTCACAAAAATATATTTTCATACCAAATCCCAATGGGGCCGACTTTCTGCACTGATGAACCGTAAATCAACGAAAATTTAATATCTTGCCAAAACCCTAAAACAAGGTCATCATCACATAATATAAAATATAAACATTTTTCATCTTATCGCTGTATATCGTTGGAATTCATGTTACCTTGAAATAATATATATTGTGTGTGTGTGTGTGTGTATGTATGTACGCGCGTGTCTTAACCACCTAATAGTCCAATAAAATAAAATAAATACAAAATATTACTATACTACGTGCATAATATGATGGTTTAAATAAAGTTGTTTTTATCGCTTTAATTCTTGAACATAGTTTAAGAAAAACAAAATACAAATAACATATATTTTTTTTTTATATTTGCGTGTTCATAGCATACACAACAAACATTAAATTATAATGATATAATTATATGCGAAATACAGGATGTAACCACTGCATACCTATTAACTTTTGTCTGTTTTATTATCGAGTAAGACAATGGTGTTTACAACATCCCGGTTAATAAAAATAAAAATAAAACATTTACCTTCGTTTTTTGAAAACCTCGTTGCATAATAATAAAAAAAAGATTTACAATGTTCAATAAAACAAAAATTAAATAATTTTTGGCCGAATATATCGGGTTGTCCGGAGAGGTCTAATATTTTTATACAGTCGAATTCGCTTATAACGATGTGGTACGATATTTCGGGTAAAACAATTCTAAGCAATGTATTTGGATGGTTTTATATTTTATGTGTTGTTACATTTTATAATCCGGATATAACGAAGTTCGGTTATAATGATCAGATTCTCTTGATCCCTTGAATATCGTAATAAGCGATTTTGACTGTATTGAATTTAATATAGGTGACGGATATCAATGTTCTTACTTATTAAAATTACATATAATATTCATCACTCGATATCGTGTAATTTAGAACCGAAACCGTTGCTTGGTTGCAAGATCAGTAGGCGTTTATAATTATTTTCGACATCGAAATATCCACGGGAACTCTAAGTTTTGTCAGTGGAATCGGTGAATAGTGAGCGGTTGGGAGATGTTGGGTGTTGCCGTCTCAAAGAGGTCGAAGTGGTGGCAAAGTTGAAACAGGTGATGGAATAACGTAGCGAAGTTTTCATCAAAGAGTTCGATACAAGTCACTTATCCAAATTGAAAAGTTTCCAAACTTAGTCGTCGACGGTGGCGACAACTATGGGACAGCGCGCGCACTCGTGCGTATGTGTGTGAGAAAGTCATACATACGTATATATTTTATTTCACGAATACCGTCGCTGTCGTTGTCAAGTGGACCTCTTTGTAACGATGCCAAAAAAAAAAAAAAAAAAAAATAAATAAATAAAAGAAAAAGGAGGCGATTTTGAAAAGATTCGATTCTTAAATCACACCCTGGTTGACCCTATTCGTTCGCACTCCGCGGACCTAATTTCCCGGATACAATGCGAGCGGCGTCCCATTGTCGAAACGAATATCCTCTTCCGGTCACGCTCGCGTATAGTGGTATTACCGTCTCTGTCCAAATCTAACGAAAAATAAATGTCATTGCCGTCGAAAAGGTTTTTTTTTTCTTTTCGTTCAGTCACCGTTATCTACCTCTCGTGTGTCAATATTAATTAATATCGTCGAGGTTTCAAAAGACCGCTATACGTTCGTAAATTCGCATGACCGAATTATTGCATTATTAGCAATATTATTGATTGGTAAACGGTTTTCATATACAGTATAAAAATAGTATATAGTATACATGATTTGCCACAGTGAGTATCAACGTTCAAGATTTTTTTTAAATTAAATTCATGCTAAATTTTCATCGTGTAATCATAATCGGCGATAAAACAAAAAAAATAAAAAAAACACCAAGGTTTTTGCATTGTAGCATTATTCATAAGTGATGGTGTATTGAATTCACAAAAAAATAAAATAACGATTTAAATTGAAGTTAATACACGTGTTATTATTATGACGCGCCATCGTAACGATACATATATTATTATATTCCCTAAAAATTTGGTGTGCAGTTTTGCGAATAAGTAGAAGACATGATATTGTAATGATTCATACATTGTACCTGATATATATTTTTTACACTTACAGTGATTACAGTGCTTCTTAAACTGGTGGTTGCGGCCCTTTACAAGGCAGTTAAATAGTTAAAAATTTATTTTAGCATATAATAAATAAAAAATAATTAATGACTTTGATTAAGGGGGCCTTGACAGTTTCACACTAAATTTAGAGGAGCCTATGACAAAAAAGTTTGAAAAGCATTGATCTAGTACACTTGGTAACCCCTGTTTTA